TACTAAACATGATCGCTATTTTTTTCAGTATTTTGTGGAATTCTGTGACTAACCTATCCCAAATCTGAGTGACTCGCCCCGACCCTCCCCCGCCTTCCTCCCTCTGCACCCCCCCCCCCCCCTGGACCCACCACTCACGATCGGTAATGTTTTCAGTGCTAAAGATATAATTATGCCTGCTCTGTTTCCGTCTCCGTCTTCCCTTTCTGCCTTTGTCTCTACTCTCTGTATCTGTCTCGTCTCGGATTCCATCCCCATCTCCGTCCCAGTTCCCGTCCCAGCTCCAATTCCCGCTCCCGCTCCCGCTCTCTTTCTCCGTCCCCGTCTTCATCCCCCTCCCGCTGACCGCTTCATCTCCGTCTCCGCCTCTGTCTCTGTCTCTGTATCTGTCTGGTCTCCGATTCCGTCGCCGTCTCCGTCCCCGTTCCCGCGCTCCCGCTCCCGCTCTCTTTGTCTCCGTCTCCGTCCCTGCTCCTCCACTACTGGCCGCTACATCTCCGTCTCCGTCTTCGTCTCCGTCCTGTCCCCGTGCCCTTCACCGTCCCCACTAAACATAATCGATAATCTTGTCAGTATTTTGTGGAATTCTGTAACCAACCTATCCCAAATCTAGGTACCTCGCCTCCCCCCCCCCCCCCGCCCGCCACTCAGGATCGGTAATGTAGTTATTCGTAGCGGCCGAGTGCTGCAACAAAGCTGTAAGCGCATTTTAAAAACGTCTTTCGGCTCCATCCTCTGTACTTGTTCTCTCCCCGACTCAATCATTTGCTCACTTGCCCTTCCTTCTCTCCCTCCATCATTTCTTTACCCCCTTCCCATGGCTGTATCATGCCGCATTCCCGCTGTCCGGCAGCGGCCGCTCTGACGGCACCGCAGTAACCGCACCAACCCCTCCGCCCGCTCGCCCCACACTGCGCCGCCGCCGGCCCGTGACTGCGGCCGGTCGGTCACGTGAGGACCGCAGCGACCTCTACGGGGTCGCGACCCTAGCGGCCGGGTACTGCAACTAAAGATGTGCATTTTAAAAACGTATCGGGCTGGAATCGAACCAGCGACCCATACCCCAGAAATCCACCACTCTACCAGCTGAGCCATCAAGGACGCAAGAGTTCACGCTTTGAATAAGCCATGGTACTCTGCACGGCTTGATGACATGGTCTGGTGCGTATTGCGGTGTTTTACGGCGAAGTGGTTGGGAGCAAATTTGGTTTTAAATGAAGGTTATACGCCATGTTTCTTGACCAAATTTTCAGAACAAGAGGGCAAAAGCAAGACAGTAGGCTGGAATTGGTTGTCCAGCGGCGACATGCACGTTTTATGATTGGCGATCGCCGGTCGTGTGAGCTGACGTCACGCAGACAGTCAGCGCCATCTCTGGAGCGTCTGGCGACATAGTCGAGGGGCCGAGTTTGGCTATTTGGGGGGTGCAAATGCGATTAAAAATGTGCCGCGCACATAGCCACGATCGAGAGCTGTCGATTGGTGGTTGAATCGTGTCTGTAGGTGGTGTGGTTTGGGCGGTTATCCCAAAAAACTGAAACGCTTCACGTATTATTTATTGTCGATAGTCACAGACGTATAAATTAACGGACGCTTATGGACGTTTATTTATAGTTGGATATATCGTCCGTGTTTATAGTAAACATTTATTCGAACACGTTTTCACAAGCTGCTTTTCTTGCCTTTCCATCCCTTCACTATAGGGTTGCTATGTGGAAAGCCAGGTTATGGGTAAGAAACTAACATTCAACGGTAAGCTTTTAGGTCGCACAGTTATCTATTTCTGGGTGACAAGGTAACGCAAACATGCGTCGTAAATACTGCAATGCAATCAGTAATGGCCGATAGGTGAGTGACGTCACGCATTAATGAAGTGAAATCACCAGCACAGCGTATTGTATGACATTCACCGTGATGGTGCAGTTGGTGAATGATCTGGAATGATCCAGCTATGTATTTTGGGCCTTGGCTATAGCACGCTGCGCCAGTGCTTCTGCAGCGGCGGTCTCTTCACCTGCCGCCGGCCACCCGTTCGCCGTTCCGACGCGTGTTCCGCTGCCGCCTGGTCCTGCCACGGTGCTCCCGAGAGCATCCGCTTCACGGCGCAGCTGGGAGTGCGAGCCCCGTCCGATATACGGCTTCTTTGACTTCAACTCAAGCTTTCCGCGCTTTTGTGGCCGGTTCGTGAGATGATGCTGGTCTCACTCACGCCTGCACGAAACAGTTCGCTCGAGGATCGCTCCGTGATGGCGGTGGCACACACACAGTGGTTTGTGTACGCGCCGCTGAGCTGAGCACTGCTGATGTGGGTCATTGTCTGGGCTACGGTGTTCACACCCACCGGCAGGTTTTTGTACCACGGAGCTTCGGAGCTGGCTTGAAGCTTCAGCTGTTCTTAACACTGATAAGTGATAAGTGATAACACTTAACAATGATCGACTGAAACAGCCTGATCATTGCAGAAATGGCGTTCCTCCGAACGCGCTGTCGCATATCTGGAGCGGAGAGACCAGATCCCTCCGGTCCAGTCCACCTGCATGACTTAACTATGACACTGATCGATGGAGACGGCATCATCATTGTGAGGGCTAACTCTGCTTCTTTGCAGCTGTCTACATCCCGCGGCCCCGTTTCCATGATAGTTTTTGGAGCCGATCTCGAATTTAGCACCTGTTTTAACATCTACGTAGTAGTTTTGGTGCTTTCGTGACATGTTACGAAGCCGTCAGTGGTGGTTGACTTTACTCCTACAGTGGATAGCCGGCAGGGCGCCTACTGGTTGACCTGACCTGACCCGACCTGGCCTAAATGTATGACATCGTTTGTGATCAAGATGAGTATTAGATTCGTGATCAACACCCCGGAAACCCCATAACAGCCTCACTTCACGAAGTTCTAGCAGGTCCGATCTTCCCTGCTTTTGGGTCATTGACCTGACCTGCAAGGCCAAACAATGACCCAGGACCTTAAAATTGGGTATTATCGAATTCCTTTCGTCTCCGGCAGCTCGCTCATTTTTCCGCAAAGCTCCAGCTCAATCAAAGACCAAGCGGCAACGGGTCCAACCGACCGCTCCCCCCTCCTATACATTAGACGCTGGCAAAACACCAATAAGGATACACTTGATTACTTGATTTTATTTAAGTAAAATTTCACCTCGACTATAAAAAAGGCACACTTCGATGGGCATGGGCGAGCCGATTTCAGTGGTGTTTACTATACCTGCCCTCAACTGCAACAAAAGTTGTAAGCCCAAAAATGACTTGTTTTAGCGACATTCTTACATCCCCCCCACATGGCCCACACACACAAAAAAAAAACTAAATACTGACCTAGTCATCAAATCGGCGCAGAGGGAGATTTCCGATGGGGCCATCTACCCCGTAAATTTGGCGCTTCTAAGTGACGTAGGATTTAGGAATCAATTGCCAGGGGGAGGTATCCTCTCAGGCTCTCACCCCGCCGTTTGCGTTATAAAAAGGCCTTTTTTTAATTTTGCTCCCGACAGGCCGAGGCCCTGGTCGGGGTAGTAATAAAAAGGCCCTGGCCTGGCGAGGGGGGACCTAAAACGTAAGTCTCGGATCAAAAGCCGCACCTTTGACGTTACGGTACGTGGACCAACATACAGGGTGTCCCATAATTACCCGGACATTGTTAATTAGCGTATAAAATAAGGCAAACATGATTGCGCTTTTTTTCTTTTTACCGTCCTATATAGTCAACTCGGGTGGCTGTGAAATAGCACATGCAATAGATACGCTTGTTACAAGATCAGCCGACAATGATGGAAAATGCCAGCCATTGCTGGTCTCAGTTGTTTTACGGGTCTCCCGAAACTGGGTGTAGGCCTGTTTTCTTTGACTTCTTGCCGGAGGATAATACGATCATATAAGATAAACTTGACATCAAAGTGTTCCCAGGCCATAAGGTATTATCCCCCGAAACAAAAATTTCTGCCTACGCCACTTTTGCTGCGTTTTTTACATCTGGAATGGAGAAGCTCCATGTCTGAACATTGCGCAACCTTTGGCTTCCAACAGATTTGGTTTCCAAAACAAACCCGCTCATGGCCATTTGGTTCACGGCATCCAGTTTTCGCACTGGTAGAATATTACCGCAGTAGTACTCTGTGCCAACGGTTGGCTCTGGGCCATCATATCAAGCCCAATGAGTGCACGGTGGCTCAAAATGTCTCACAATTTGATTTTCGACAGGTGCCTGGCCGTCTCTGCTGTTGGGGCGTTGTAGCCATCGGACGTTCACACACGCCTTTTTCGGGCGGTTCAAATGACATTATACCTTCGTTAGACCACAAAGTGTGCTTCAATATACTGTTTTGTTGTATATGTTATGTTTTTGGGATGAATTGTAGTGATTTGCGCTGCTTTTCCCGTAGTTTTCGCATATTTTTCTGGCGAAGGACCCCAAATTCCAAAATTTTGTCGAAGATAGTGGTGCAAAGTAGACTAATGTTTTGTAGATAATCCTGATCTATTGTTTAGCTAGTTTTTAGCTAGATCGGTGACGTTTGTTGTCTATGACAAGCAACCACTTGTTTGACAACTGGTGCATGGCCCTTTTTGGCCGAGCCCAAGCTTGTTCAATCAGGTTTATCTCTTGCTCTCTCTGGGTTCGTTAGCTGATGTAATTGCGCTTTGCTCAATCCTAACTGCTTGCAGATGAGCTGCTGAAGCTCTCCAGCAAAAACCATGCCGAAAGTCCGTTTATCAAGTTGAGAACGGGAGTTGATTCACCATGGTTGCCTATTAGTGGCTTAAGCTGAAAACGGAAAAGGACTACTCTTACTTGACTCTGGATAACAATTGATTCGAGTCGTTACCGGCCACCAAAAGCATACAGTCCCTAATCTCGATAGCTAAGGGATATCCTATAAAAGTATGATGCTTGTATATCATTGGAAGCGAGCGCAGTCGTACTTTTAGCCAGAAAATAAATGTCCGGGTAATTCTGGGACACCCTGTATGTGCTTGTCTCGGCAGAGGACCCGAGGCTGCTGTCTGAGCGGGAGCCGAGGCTGTCCCCGGGAGACACTTCTCCACTCAATCAGCTATGTGCCATCTGCAACGACAAGGCCACCGGCAAGCACTACAACGTCATCTCCTGCGACGGCTGCAAGGGTTTCTTCCGCAGATCGGTGCGCAAGAACCAAAAGTACGCGTGCAGGTGAGGCATGCTTGTATACCAAGGCAATCGTGTTTTCCAGGTAGTTTTCAGGTTTTTTTTTTTGTCGTGAGTAGATAAAACTGTGGCGCGTAGCGCCATACACGTAAATTTTCAATAACATTGTTTCAAAAAGTACGGCACGGGTCGAAGATCATTTGGGTGAGGGTCATGAAATATTCAGGGTAGGTGTAAAATTGATTAACGCGAGGGTACTGAAAGTTTCGTCGCGATCTGCCGCTTTTTACGCGAGTTATTGGCGAAAAACCGAGGGGGTCCGTTCGCCCCCCACCCCCTTCCCCTATACGGGCGAGGGTTAAAACTAGTGACATGGCCCGCCTCTCTGGCCCCAGATACGGCCGTAGCTGCACGGTGGACAGGGAGAAAAGAAACCACTGCCGCTACTGCCGACTCAAGAAGTGCTTCCGGGCTGGCATGAGAAAAGAAGGTAGGCTGCCCTCAGCTTTGCCGCTGGAGCTTTGACAAGTAGCAACAGTGCGTCATGCAGAGCGTGCTATTTAGGGCCAACATTTATGTTTACGTTCAAGTTAGGCATGGGCACTGGACACTGGACAGCCGTCCCTGCTGGAGAGTCTGAGGCCTGTCCTTGATTTGTTGTCAGAGTTGATAAGATCATATATCCAGGACTTGTTTTTTCACGTGGTTTGTATTTTGTAATGGAATCATGGATACATCACTTCGATGCTTGTTCATGTTTGCTCAATGCATAGTACACATTTACATGCAAGCGAATTAGCGCGAACATGTGACTTTTCCCATCAGTAGGTACCATTTTATCACATTGCTGATCCGCGTTTAGTTGCTTGAGAAAAGAACAATTAATGAAGTTCTGCAGTTTGATAGAAACTAAGCGAATTTGATTGGTCCAGTCTGTTTAAATAGTTGAAAGCATTTGGCGATGGCATCCATTGTCCAATGTCCATTGTATTTGATCCGTGCGCCGTGTAACTGCGATGTCTGCCGGATAGCGGTGCAGAACGAACGGGACCGGATCAGCTCTCGACGGCCCAGCTTCGAGGAGCCGGCGGACGTGAGCGGGCTATCAGTGCAGCTGCTGCTCCGCGCCGAGCTGGCCTCCCGACAGATCGACTCCACCCGGGTACGGCGACTGATCACTCACTGTCGTTCTACTCAGTAGTTTGGTGGTTGGTCACGGCGGTCACGCTTGGGGCGATGCCGGGAAGAAACGCTCAATAAGTAACGATGGTCTTTGTCAATTTTTTTTTTACTAATTATATTTTAACTCATCACGATCGAGTTCCTGTTTCATCATCTGGTAGATGATGTACAGCGATATACAGCTACCGGGTGTCCCACATTTATGTACCACATTTTAAAAATGAATAAAATCCATGTTTATTTACGAGTAGACAGCACAGGATGAGTATCACAGATCGAAAGTGTGTTTCCTGCTATTTTGTTTGGCATATGTAACGAACACACTGAGGCACTGATGCACCGTGTACAGCACGTGCTCGAAGTGAGCGCCATTACGCTCCAGACACACGCCGGCGCGGTGGAGCGCCTCTCGCACTACTCGTCCGCATGTCTCCACCCGGATGCCGCGAATGGCCGACTTGATCTTCCTCTTCAGGTCCTCCAGAGTCTCCGGCATGGATCCGTAGAACTATGACTTCAGCTCCCCTATAGATAAAAATCTAGGGGTGTGTGGGGGGGGTGGGGTGAGGTCTGGGGAGTGTGCGGGCCAGCCCACTGCACTCCGCCTCGAGATGAAACGGCCCTCCATATGTTCAGAGAGCCAATCCATAGACACCCGGGCGGTATGGAACGTCGCCCCATCATCCTGCTGCACCCACTGCTGCGCCAACCTCCCTTAGTGATTGATGGACAGAGATCTTGTAATGACGCAGACAGAGAGTGTTCTTCAGCAGCCGATTAGTCAGGGCCTCGGCTAACATGTTAACTGGTGGGCCAAATGGCCCATCAGTGACCCGAAATGGCCCACCAGCCTCAAAGATTTGGCCCACCAGTAATTTTCCGAAAAATCTAATTTTTCACATTTTTCACATTTCAGATTGAATTAGCAGATCTTATCGTACATTTTCAGGCTGTAAAGTACCCATAGGTGAAACATATTCTTGTGAAAAAACTTCAACATATTGTTCGCAATATCCTCTTGGGGTAAAAAGTGGGCTTTAGTACCCGCAACTTATCGTCCAAAGTTATCGTCCAAAGTTTAATAATCTGCGTCAATATTTTGTGCATACTTGTGCGATTTTATGTGCACCGCCGGAGTATCACCACTGAGAGGGTTGTGGGTCCCTACTAGAGATGTCAATCAGATACCAACTTTTTGGTATACCGATACCAAACCGATATCAACTTGGTATTTGGTACTTCAGTCCTAATGTGTTTGGTATTTTGTTGGTATCATGACCCCTCACTATTAGTTGGTATCATTTCTTAGCCTCTCATGTATGAGAGGCTAAGAAATTGGTAAAAAGTTGGTATTTCCCTTCGTTTCCTAAGTTGGTTTGGTTTCGGCATTTCCCCACAGTTTTGGTTGGTATTTGGTTTGGTATCGGTATTCCGATTTTCCGTAATTGACATCACTAGTCCCTATAACTCTCTCCCCTCTCTGAAGAGTCGGGGGGGGGGGGGTCGAGCCCCGGTTTTTACATTTTTTAATGCCACCCTGACGTTTTTTGCATGATAAACTGGCCGAAATCTGGGGAGAAATCGAAAATTGGGGGGGGCTATGGCTACGAAGGTCAGTCCATGTCGCTGGCCAAGTGGCCCACCAGTCAAAATTTCTTAGCCGAGGCCCTGCGATGAGTCGTGGTGCGGAGCACGTGGGTCTGTAGGGCGAGGCGCCGAACTGACGTCTTGGGTGCCTGGCGAACCAGGGGCAGCCAGTAACAGTTGGTAGCATTAGGCCAAATGGGCGCTCAAAAACTACTACCCCATAGGGTTTGCATGTTAAATCGACCTTTTTCAAGCGAGCCCCACACGTAAGCCAAAAGATAAAGTGCCAATATTATTGTGGGGAAAGGTAGCCTCAAGCTTCCTCTCAGGGGCGGAGAATTGTCATAATCCCAGGGGGTGCTTATCAGCACCTGGCGAATGGAAGCGTCGAATTTTTGCGTAGAAAAGCACATATAAGCACGCTTTCCCAACAGCATCACTCTTCTCGCGATTTACGCAAAGCTGTTTGTGTCTCAGACAAAATTTAAGCAACCACTGAAGCACTATTATATGGCGACCACAGTGTATATATCCCTTTGAATTTCAGGGGGTGCTCGAGCACCCCCAAAACCCCTAATTCTCCACCCGTGCTTCCTCTACAAACCTTTTTATCTAGCGTTTTTCGATGCGGAGGCCATAACAGGTCCAAAAAGCATTGGGCTCTGCCCGAGGTACCAAAAGCCCCTCCATGAGACACTAGTTCCTGCGCATGCGCACATTACCTCAACCCTGTACTAGCGTAAGTTAGCGATACTGCTTACGGACTCGATAAGCCAATGAGCGTCCCCGATTACATTAATAGATGTCGCTAGCATCACGTAAATCCTGCTTGCGAACGCATTTTAAGAATGAAACAGCTGCGTCATTTCCGCCTTCCATAGATTCCTTCCATCTTAGTTTCAACTATAGGCTTTTCAACTAACTTTATGCTAAGTTTAAAACTATGGTTAGTATGTTATTTCTGGTTTATATAATTTAAAAATAATTGCTTTATGAATTTGGCTTTGCTCGTCAGAATGGAATACCCTATTAATTCCATATTCAAAAAATATATCAACTTCCATGTAACTCATCCAGGAAATATGGGCGTTTTCCGCGTCGTTGGTGTACCCGTTGTTCTATATACCCTGTGGCGAACGGTGTCTTTCAGCTTTTTTATCGTTGCACTGGTAGAAGCCGACTTTTTGGTCCAGTAGGTATTGTTTTTGTTCTGATTCTGAACTGTTCCGAAAGCAATAAACTAAATCGCAGACTAGTTATGCGTGTAGGCACAGCGTGAGTTGAAAGGTGTCGCTTAAACTTTCGCTGTGTTAAAATGATCGACTTGGTTTCCAAGTAAGATTGCACGACTTTGGTTCTCTGGTCCGTACTGAGATGATCCATGGCAGAGGGTTTTAATAAAAAAAGCAAAGAACTCTCTTGCACGTGCAACACAAAAATCGCGTGACTGATGTACATACCTTGGTATTTTTATTACGGATTAAAATGTGGTACGAGTACATTAATGTGGGACACCCTGTACCTACGAAGGGCCAGCCGTGTGAGTTGCGCGCTTCGTTTTCAGCTGGGCAGTCGGGAGGCGGACGTGGCCGACCGGCGCGTTGCCACGCACGCGGACGTGTTCGACTCGATGAAGCAGCAGCTGCTCATCCTGGTCGAGTGGGCCAAGTGTATTCCGGCCTTCCTGCAGCTGTGCCTAGAGGACCAGGTCAGTCATCACCGGGGGGGGGGGGGGGGTCAATCGGCACCAATAGCATTTCATTGTTGACGCGCAATATCCGTGTATTGTTTGGACACAAATTCACTTCTCATGAAGAAAGGCGTTGAGATGACATCACTGCCCGGTTCGACCACATGGCCGCCCAGACATGGAGCTCAGCCCGGGGCTGCTCAGTGCAGCTTCCGATCAGGCTGGCATAATGCCTGAAGACAGGCTCCAGCTCCAGCTGCTCCCAGGTGGAGTCGCTCACATTTTTCGGGAGGAGTCGGCTGAGCAGGAACGCCGTCCTCTGGTGCGCGCCAAAGCGGTCCCTGATGTTAGAGACGATGGCATCTAAGGCGGGCATGAAGGCATTCACTAGGTAGTAGTCTTCGGGAGTCTGTTCGGCAGCTGCTGTACTTTGTGGGCGGCCGTGCTTGGCAGCCGCGGCTTCCTTTTTCGGTCTTGAATCTTGCAGCCATGGCCGTGGCGTCCACTATCAGATATCACATTCTCAAACTCGGTGTCGGAGTTGGTGCGCATGTCCTGAAGGGTGGTGACGGTGGTGCCCACCAGGCCAGGTCCATCCCTTTCCCCTGCACTGTGGAGAGCGGGCTAAGAACGCCAGACAGCTTCCGGTCCACTGCCATTCCCACCAGGAACTTCCCCTGGGTTACGGCAGTCAGCAGGCAAACTGTCTGAGAGCTGGTGCGTCCAGGGTACAGTGCGTCGATCATGCCACTCTGCCATTATCTCCAGGGCCAGGCAGACGCCGGGCAGCTCATCCCAGATTCCAGAAGCTTTCCACGGCGATGTGTCGCTCCACGAATCGTGTCTGACACAGCTTGAGTAGCTCTTCCCCCCTCGCCGAGTGCTTCTTGCTGGGCAGTGCGTAGCAAGTTAGCAACCCCTCGCGCTATCCGTCAGGACCGCAACCACAGTCTCCAGAGATCCAAGAGCGTTCCTGATGATGTCCGCCTTGGTCAGATACCACAGTCTCCAGAGATCCAAGAGCGTTCCTGATGATGTCCGCCTTGGTCAGATGGGACGTGGGACGTCGCCAGGTTCAAGGCGTGGACAGTGCAGTGGAAGTAGTGCGCCAGCGGCGAGTCGCACCGCATCTTGAGCGGCCACTCCGACACGTTCGCTGGCCACTCTGTCGTAGCATTGCGCTACCATGGCCGCTCCCCTCTTGGCGACGAGGCCTGCCGCTGGGGTCTGAGAGTCCTGCTTTCTGCATGTAAGGCAGCGGTTCTACGGCTTTGGTCCGTTTTATAGACGTCGTTAGACTAATACGTCGTTTTTTACTGTCGCTACACGACTGTTGTAGTTCGGTTGCCGATAGCTGAAACCCATCTCACGACGAACCCCCAAATACTCTTCAATGAGAGCGTTTGGGACCCCGGTGCGCGGAGCAGTAATGAGGCCTTTTTTACTTCGACAGAGCTGAAGGATCTCTGCCTAGCTACAAATTACGCCTATGGCAACACGCTTGGACCCAAGATGCATGCGCAGCCATGCTCCTCATATGATAACCCCGATCACAATTTATTTGTATGTATATACAGGGAGTCCAGAAAAACGGATGCTATTATTTTTTGGCTATACTTCCGAAAATGAACACTGGACATTTGAAAATGGCACATGCTCGTATTCAGTGAAACATGGCAAAACAGACGGCAGGTGCCACATGGTAAGAAAACCCTGTGGTCAGTCGCGGCGGCTCCTCAAAGCAGATGCTCAATGTGAGCGCTCTTTCAGCGTTTTTTTTTTTTTTTACAATTTTTACTGGATCCGGAGGGTCCCATAAAAATTGTATGGACACTACGCACCGTCCGTGTAGGTGATGACGCCCATGTCAAAAAGACGATTCCTTGACGCGGCCGTTACGGAAAAAGTTGTTACCTTTATGCATATCTTTCGTTTTTCCTCTGTGAAATGAGTAAAAATGAGACCTAAAACCGATAATTAAAGTAGATTTGCGGGTACACTAGGTTGATCTACGTTTTGAATCGACACCAGTGAATATTAGGTGAGCCCCTTTACCCCCCCCCCCCCTCCCGCCCCCGGGCCAGAAAATGGACCACGTGCCATAGACGTCTGCGGCACCGTTACCCATTCGATCATCTCGGCATTAACGTTTTTGGAAAGTTACGTGACTCACTCTTTGATCAGAACAGCAGTAAGGCTGGTGCTGAACAAATAACTGAATGTGGAGCGGTCCACGCTCGCTCACTTCTGGGGCCGAACTGTGAATGACTGGTGACGGCTGACGACTGTCGGTGGTAAGAGCCCTGCGCCACCGGCAGATCGCACTGCTGCGCACACACGCCGGAGAACACCTGCTGCTGGGCGCCTCCTGGCGGTCACGGCACCTGCACGGCTTCGTCCTGCTCGGCAACAGCTCCGTCGTCACCCGAGGCGCGCAAGGCAAGTAAATAAACGCAAACGGACTTTGACAGGCTTACTAAGGCTTTCTCTGTCTATTTTGTTTGTTTGTTTAACAAGGTTGAACCACAACATGTAGGTAGTGTCTAGTGCCCAGTGCCCACTTGGGCGGCGATAGCATAGCAATGGCGTTATTCTCGGTTTTGTCGAAGAAAATATCTAGCACGCAGTTTGCTGAGGGCTTGGGCTGTACATCACGTTACGCCAATTCATTCACTTTTTTTGAAGGTGGGAGCGTCCTTTTTTAAATCATACAAATTTGTTTTTGACAGATGTCTCCATGAACAAGATCGGAGGGCGTTTAATGGACGAGATAATCCGACCTCTGCAAGAGATGCGAGTAGACCAGACCGAGTACTCTGCTCTCAAAGCCATCGTGTTCTTTGACCCAGGTACGGAGAGTGGGTGCCGACTCCACGGCCCCCGGAAGGGTGTACTGTATGCACTTGTGTATCGGAGCTGCCGACGGTGGGCTGCAAACGCCGACCATTCCGTGAAACATGCTTTCTCAACATTATGATTAGTTATTATGTTCCTTAACGTCTGTTTACTTTGAATATTCATCAAGAAAACGACACAGTGCTTACGAGACTACTGTTGGCGCGAAACCCCTTTGAGGCCCCAATTTTCCACGATTTTTTTGAATGCGTGAAAGAATTTATTTTAAACCATATTTCGTAAATGACCGTTACAAAACCTTCTAAAACTCTAACAATTTATATATTTTCTCGGCATCTCGATATTTCAGACACTTTTGAATTCTCATTGACTCGTATTGTTAAATTTTGAGCAATATTTACATCTGGTGTATAGCGGCTATCACTTGTCAGTCTGTGATAAGTCATGACGTCACAACTAATATGGCCTCTATGGTCTTGGGCTGCGGCGGTTTCGGGCCGGCACGCGGTCACTCGCGCTGGAGTTCTATAGCCTTACCGCGCTGTGGTGGGGAGCGGGGACGGTCGAGCGGTGCCGAAAGCCGGAGGAGTTGCACGTTACCTCTTTTCTGACAATGCCCAAAGAGCCACATGATGACCAGCAATGCGTAATGTGCATCGTATGTACATACAGTGCGGTCGTTCGCTGATGTTTAAATCATGTTATCTAATCATCTCGATTATCTAAAATCATACATACAGACATGCATACATACATACATATATACATACTTATATATACACATACATGCATGCATGCATACATACATACATACGTACATAAATGCATACATACATGCGTACATACATACATACCTTAGGTCACGTGACCTAAGGTCAACTTTTGACCTTTCGACCTTTCGAGATCAACATACATATGTTTCGATGCGGATCGACGAGAGGATCACGATGGTGCTATTAGTTTGTTCCTAGCTGGGATACCTTGAAAGTTATTCGAAAAAAACTTCATATATGTAGTGCCGCAATTTTGACTTCCTTTTTGCTCCTGTGACGTCATCTTTGACCTGACCTGAAAATGACCTCAATGAAATTTATAGACCTTATCCGTGTGTACCCTGCAACGTTTACCGCTTGTCGCTATCTTGCTTTATTCTCGAGATCTCGCTGTCGCTCCCGCTCGTCACGTGACCTAAGGTCAACTTTTGACCTTTCGACCTTTCGAGGTCAACATACATATATTTCGATGCGGATCGACGAGAAGATCACGATGGTGCTATTAGTTTGTTCCTAGCTGGGATACCTTGAAAGTTATTCTAGAAAAACTTCATATATATGTAGTGCCGCAATTTTGACTACCTTTTCGCTCCTGTGACGTCATCTTTGACCTGACCTGAAAATGACCTCAGTAAAAATTATAGCCTTATCCATTTGTACCCTGCATCGTTTACCGCTTGTCGCTATCTTGCTTTATTCTCGAGATCTCGCTGTCGCTCCCGCTCGTAATAATGGACAGGTCATAAAAATGACCTGACCTGAGGTCAACGCAGGGCGATATCCACTTTTTTATTTTCGCATATGAATGAAAATTGATAAGGCTTTAATCGTCATCAGACAAAATTGCAACTTCCAGTGGGGAAAATATCAAGGTCACTCTTCGAAAAATAGGTCAAAAGGTCACGTGATCAAAATTTTCAAAAATTGAAAATCCGAGATAGCTAAAATGTTTGTTGGCTGATTGTGAGTTGAACCATATAAAGTTTTTATCGTAGAAAACCAATAGTTTCTGAGTTATAGGCCGCCAAACATAGGGCTGCAGCGCGACATCCAGGAATTGCCCGAGGCTATATCTCGGAATCCGTTGTTCGAAGAAAAAAATCCTTGCCACAGCTGGCTTCCCCGCCCATCACAACCCCTTACACCAGTTTTCAACGAAAAATAAAATATGAGGGTGCAAATTTAATTTTTTATTTGTCGATTTGTCGTGGAACGCCCCATACATACATACATACATCACACTAGCTTTGCTCTCTGAAGATGGCCGTCGGCTGGTGTAGGTACTTTCTCTTCTCTGAATCGCAAATTTGTATTTTATTAACGCTGTTAGAAATTAGTTCATAATATTTTCTAAGTATTTAAACTCGTCAACTTTAAATACGAAAAGACACAGTTGCTGTTTGTCCCCGACTAGATGCATGCATGCGCACCAGTGGCTCTCAAGTCTCAAACTACCATGTAAGCGGGCGTAGTGAATGTATTTCTGTGGGGAAACCGAATAGCATTATTGTCGTAGGGGAGAGTGGGGCAAAGCGGCCACCCGGGGCAAAGCGGTCACCCATCGTTTTAGCCCTTCATAGCTGGTGTCAGTTCCAATTTATGGTTTCCAATTATACTTCTCTTCACGGTCGTTCGAATGAGCCAGACCGGGGTTTCAGGCCCATCACCATTGTTCTGTGAAACACGGAAAAGCATTTCTTGCCATATTACCAACTATGTTTACAATTTTTAAATGTTATGTCATTCCATAACCGCTTGGAATTTTTCTAAGCGTTCTTGTCCATGCATTGCATGGTTATCGTATATGTATTCTACCAATTTTAATGTTTTTTACCCCACTAATAGCCAGGGGCGTAACTTTTTGGTTTTCGTTGGGGGGGGGGGGGGGCAACGCTGTCAGGGGCGCCTTTTTAAGGGCATGGGGGCGCCTCCCCGTGACTGTCTAGAAATAAGTCTTATTTCAGTTTACGGCAGCATTTTTTTTTACCATAGCACATTGTTTTTGTGCCGTCGTGTTTTGGCACGTTATGTTGCAGTTTTTTTTTCTGAAATAGCGCGCCAAAAGCGCGGAATTATTTTGTAACCAAATACATTTTGAAAGCACTTTGGGGACCAGAGACCGGGGGCGGGTAGTGGAATTGGGGACCAGGGTAGTGACGCCTTATTAAACAACGCATATGGTAGTTCTTCTAAAGAAACGAGACGAACTGATGAATTGACAAAAAGAAAAGAAAAAAACAACTGATAAAAAGGCGAGATTAAAGAAACAAATCTGTAGAACTTCACCCCACGCAGAAGCAAGGGACGTTTTTACGCCTCCCCTTTTAAGTTAAGAACACACTTCATACTGCATCTTTTCCGCACGTGTTCTAGAAGCAAACCAGTGGCAAAAATTTGCCCTCATCGAAAAAAAATAAAAAATTGCCCCCCCCCCCCGCCCGCGCCGGGCCGGGGGGGGAGTGAACACCTCCCCTGCGGTTTTTCGCAGATATCTCAAAACTCCGCGCCGCCGTTTTTGGCACACCTGTTCATGCATCTTTTTTTTACACATGTGCAAATTTCAGACCCAGAGCTCTCAAGGTCAGGTCACCAGGTCACGTCAAAAGACCTCACCTTAGAAAAAAGTTGCAATCCTCGTCATAGCTACACCGACTGAACGATCGCCTTGAAACTTTCAGCGATTGATAAGAGTAACAGTATGTCTAAAATGTTTATCTCGGAATTTTGATATCAGTGACCTATGGTCAGGTCAATTTTGCGACCTCTCCATTATAAGTCAATGGGAGAGAATTGAAATGAGCCTTTTTTGGACGAATGGTATTTAGAACCCTCTCAAACATCGTTTCATAGGTAAACATGATACACTGAATCGGAAAAAATGCACCTGTGACCCCTCTGTGTGCCCTTGAGGTCATCTCAGGTCATAGACGGTCACCACCAGTTTTTTTGCTGTAACTTTTGATAAAGGCGTGCTAGAGCGATGAAAACACTTCAGATGTATTCAGCTCGACGATACGGATCGACTGATATGCAACATGACCCTTTTCGGTCAGGTTATGACCTTGACCTGAGGTCAAATTTTAAAAATGACCTTTCAAGGTCAAAAAATAGTTCATTCGACGCGTCTGGACGAGAGAAACGTGATGCTGCCAAAAGTAATGTCGTGGCACTCTTAAGTCAAAAGTTATTGCCGAAAAACAGTTTTCGTGAAAACTGCTATTTTACAGTTTTTGCCCTTTGGAGGCTAAACCGTTGACCTTAGGTCAAATCTGAGAACAATGGTCAGAAAGGTCTGTAAAAGGGCTATCGAATGCGCTTTTCCGCGGCGCTGTAGCTCTATTGGTCCCGAGTTAGCCGTTGCAGTTTCCAAAATTGTTGAAATGGCCTACATTTGACCTTCGATGACCTCAGGCGACCTGACCTTTGACCTGACCCAAAAAATGACCGAAGTGTTTCCGTCATTATTTTTGACGCTCTTTCGAATGATGCTTACTGCGTGTCGCTACGTGGCCCAGGAGCCGAGTTAGACCAGACACCCCCCTCACCGCCCGGCGCGGAAGTCGCGGAGCACCAGCCCGGCGCGGGTTAATCCCAGGCTGAGAGCGTTCAAGCTTAGGTCACCCATATACCTCTGTATACCGAGACATGCAGAAGTCTGTGGCTCACCAGGTGATATCAAATTATCACGAAATGATACCTACAAATTACTCCTGCTTAGAGGTGGCAAAACGTGAAAATTTTGGGAACCAGACTCGAACCAGACCCGGCTGGACATTTCTGGAACCAGTCGGACCCGGTCTAAGTTGGAATCGGAACCAGTTGGACCCGTTCCCCAAAAGTCAATTACCTAATACAAACCGTTTGTAGAAATCATTAATTGCATCGTGTAAAACAGCCCTTTTCCCACTGATAATACTTATGAACTACAGTGTGCAAAGGAACATACATGAGCAAATGTTTTCTTTCCATTCACTTCATATTTTGCAATCATATGTAGTGTCCACTATGTATGGTTTATGGTAGGACCCGGTTGGACCCGCCAGAAAATTTCCAGGAACCGGTCCGGACCCATATGGGTCCAGACCGGTTCTTTTGACCGGGTCCTCGGGTCCACATTTTGCCACCCTTTGAACAAAAAAGATGATGTAGGATACCAGTATAGTCAGAGGAGCGCTAACATTGGCTCGATGGGTGCTATGAACCGTTGGGACGCTACGCCA